GCCGGCATTGCTGCGCCAGCGCCTCCCGCTGCCCCTTCTCCTGGCTCAGCTCCTCCTGCAGGCTGCCGATGGCCCCGGCCAGGCATGCGGTCAGCTTGGACGTCTCCATGAGCCCTGCGGGGAGCTGGGCATCACCACCCTGCCCGCTCCTCATCCTCCAGGGCTTTGCTTCCTGCCCCGACTCTCAAAAGGGCCCACCCTATCTGTCATCTCCTTCAAGGCTTCCGGGCCAAACTATACCCGAGATTTGGGTAAATAAACCGCGTGATTCCAGATTTGGGTACAAGGACTACCCAGTGTTGGCTGCCCTGTGTGACCCGCTGTCCAGACCCCCGCCCCTCGTCAGCCCAGACGTGCTTAATGCTAACAGTCTCACGTCATCCTCAAAACAGTAACGGGACCGTAAGTCTGCGTAAGAGATCTCGACGCAGCACAAGCACAGCCTGCGAGGCGCCAGACAGGAGCATGCTCTTGTGCAGTTTCCAGGGCTCCTGCCCCGCCCTCTGAACTCCCACCTCCCTCAGTGCCCCCAGGGGAGCCTGGAATTACTCCCCCGACCACCCAAGCCCAGTGAGCCCTCACTTAGCGGGCTGAGCACAGGCACAGGGCTGCGGCCTGCACTGCTCTCGGCCCAAGCCTCTCCAGGACTGGGCCTGCCACCCCAGCACAGCCCCCAGCGGGCCTGGGAGCTCTTCTGGGGAAAGGACACGTCCCTGTGCCCACGCCGTGAAGGCCGCCCCCCGTGGTGCTGCATTAGGGACAGACTCTTCCTCCGAGCCCAGCAGGGGCGCCCTCTCCGACCCGTCCCCCTGCAGTGCGCGGAGGGTCTCCTCTCCCGAGTGCTGGGCGGGGCAGGACGGAACCTCTGCCTGAGCCTCGGGAACAGGGTTGGGAACAGAGGTGACCAGGCCCCGGAGGCTCCGATCGCAGGCCAGCTCTCACCACTGAAGGTGCTGAAGTCCACGTCGGGCTGCAGCCCGGTGACCAGGGTGTAGACGTCGGGGTTGTGGAACTTCAGGCTCTCCAGGAAGGCGAGCGCCCCGTTCTTCCCGCGCGCCCTCAGCAAGTCCAGCAGGTGCCCTTGGGGGACAGGACAGTCTGGGCTGACAAGGCGCTGGGCGGGCTTCCCCACGAGGGGTGGGCGCCCTCTGCCGCGCAGGCCCCTCTGCTGCCAGAGTGCAGTCAGTCTCGAGATGGGCGAGGCCGGCATTTATTGAGCAGCTACTATGACCCGTGCGCTAAGAGCTGGAGATAAAAGGCTAAGGAAGATGAGGGTCGCTCCGGGACCTACCAGGTGTGCTGGTGGGCGTGTGGGTGTGTGCACCCAGCTCGGGGAGGAAAGCAGCCAACAGCAGCACCAGGGCCCCCCAGCCCCATCGCTCTCAGCTTGGATTCTGAGGCTCATCAGGCAGCCGGCAGAAAGTATCCTGTCAGTAGCTACCGCCCATTGCCGGCTCTCCATGGCCCGGCCCTGACCGCCCATCGCCGGCTCTCCACGGCCCGGCCCGGGCTTTGAGACAAGTATCTTAGAAACTGACTCAATTCTCTTAAGAAGCCGATATGGTGACGCTATGAGCTTCCCGATTCTGAATGAATAAACACAGACGGTCAGTTGGGCTGGAACAGGCGGGCTGGCCCCCAGGAGTGTCCGCCTGGAGCCCGCCAGTGGGACCTGACTTGGAAGAAGGGTCTTCGCGGGTGTAATTAGTGTGACCGTGAGCGGCGCGCATGCTGCACAGCCTGGGGGCCTCTGTGCAAGGACAAGTGTCAGGAGGGCGGGAGACTCGCAGAGAGGCATGTAGACCAGGAAGAGAGGGAGAGAGAGACGCAGAGAGGGCATGTAGACCAGGCAGAGGCTGGAGCAACGGGGCCGCCAGAAGCTGGAAGAGGCAGGAAGGGTCCTCCCCTGGAGCCACCGGAGGGAGGGGGCCCCGCCCACACCTTAACTTCAGATCTTCAGCCACCAAACTGAGAGAACCCAGTTCTGCGTTCCCTGGCCACCGATTTTGTGGTAGTTTATTAGGGCGGCCCCAGAGAAACTAACACAGGCCCACCCCCCGCAGGTTCACCAACTCTCATGGCCGAGTTGGTGAACCGGGGCTGTGCAGCACCTCCTTGGCCAGGTGGCCCAGCACCTTGGCCTGGCGCAGGTAGGGGGTGAGGCGGCTGGGGCAGATGCTGCGCACGATCCTGTGGCGGTGGCTCTCCGTCATCTCCCACAGCGTCTCCTCGTCCAGGGCTGCCAGCGAGGAGTGCGTGCGGTGCAGCTCCGCCATGGCTGGACCTGGACGACGGAAAGGGCGGTGGCGGAGGGCTGTCAGTGCAGGGCTCCCGCCCCGAGGCCTTCCCCTTCCACCCATCCTCCCCACGGACAGGCAGGGAAGGAGAGGACCCCCGGAGAGGACGATGACACCAGCCCGGCCCTGGTGTCCCGTGACCGGTGGGAGGGACACCCACGGCACCTGGGGCGGAGGGAGACCTGGCTCCTCTGGCTCTCGGGACGCGGATCTGCCTCTGACACACAGGCTGCTGCCTGGCCCGACCCGCACTGGCTTAGGAGGTGGATCTAGACCACAATCCTCCGCAGGGGGGCGCAGGAGGGAGCGAACCCCTGGACTCTCCTGTGGCCGCAGCACAGATGTGCACAGGCAGACAGCAGTGCGCCTGTGGCGGTACTGTCTCCGGCAGCACCGCCCTGGGGGAACGTGAGGCTGGGCGAGCTGGCACCCAGAGGCAGTGCCCGGGGCCCACATCCATCAGTGGGAAGCAGGCCGGGGGCTGGGCCTCGCACAGAAAGCCACCGCTTGTCCTCGGCAGGGTGGACCCTGTCGCTTTCAGCAGCCCAGAACCCTGGCACTGAGACACCTGGGCGCAGCGCTATAAACGCCATAAAACTAGGACGGCTCTTGGGGGTGAGCAGTCAAGGCCACACCCCTCGGCTAGTGTGTGTGGGGGGGTGAGATGGCCAGGCATCTGAGAGCTGAGCTGCGGGACCTGGCAGATCCTGGCTGGGTCCCAGGTCCAGTCTGTGTGGATCTAGTGCCTGCAGCAGTCACAGCCCCGTCAGCCCTCCGAGCAGAGGGTGTGCTGATGGGCGGGACCCAAGCCCTTGTGCTGGGAGGACCTCAGGGGGCTCCTCCCACTCCCACCGGAGCACACCTGCCCTGCTCTGGAACCACAGTGGCCACACTGCGCTCCCCAGGCACAAGGCCTTGAGCCTATTAATCCAGGTAACTCATTCTAAAATGGCTGTGAGCTGTGGACAAGCATAGAAAACAGCCTGCAAATGGCAGCGCCCGCGCTCCCTTCCTGGATTTCAGATTCCTGCACTCAGTCCCTCTGCCCTCTCTCCCCTCCTGCCCGGACAATGAGGTGACAAAACACACAGCACTTGGCGTGACTATGAAACAGCCACCTCGCACCCAGCGTCTCCACTGTGAGCTGTCACTGTAGACAAAAGCATCCGCTGGACAGGGCGCCGCCCTCAGCAGGGGTTAGGGTTTAGCATCTGGATACGCGTGGCTACATACACCTTCTTGACTGCAGGCTGACTCAGTGATAGGAAGAAAGCACGGAGATGTACTGATGGTCCTATGGCTGCGCATTATGTTGTTTCTTTTTCTCATCACACTTGTGCATGAAGTCCTCATGCACAGGTGGGCACAGGTGGGCACAGGGGGACAAAGGGGGCATGGGGGGACACAGGTGGGCACAG